AAATTTTGAAAAGTCGTGCAGCTGTTTTTCGAGGACCTACGGTGCGATTCGTGTGATTTTATGATGCGCGGTGGTAAAATTCTTAAAAACCCAATGGTTTTTGTAGATTTCGGCGTGCGCGCGCGAAGAAAAAACGAATGTGTCCCGCATGGTATTATTTGACAGGGATGATGGCCCTGGCAGGTGCGCAACCGTTGTCGCAGAAGTTTGAAAAAGTTGCTCGCAAAAGCCCGTTTGACAAAATTGTTTAAAAAGTGATGGTTTTCCTACGAATCCGCAAGAGCGCGCGGGATGAGATTTTGACAATTTTTTATTTAAAAAACCATTGGGTTTTTAATGTTTTTATGTTGAAATCGTTCCGAAACCTAAGGTTTTGGAAGGATTTCGTCTTGCACGCGCGAATGTCCACTTTAGCTTATTTTTTGCAAGGGATTCTTGAAATTGGATTACATTTGAACAAGAAATTTCATTTTATAGTGTTTTTTGCAAGGGAAAGCGGGGGGGAACAAAACAACCGGATCCGGTACTAATCGACTTTTCTGAAGCTTTCGCGAAAAAATAATGAAAATGTAGCTGCGGCCTAGGTTTTGGAGGGGGGTCGTGTACCAGGGGTCCCAACAATAATTATTCTTTAGAAGTAATAATGTTCAACAACAACAACAACAACAGCAACAGCAACAGCAACAGCATCAGCATCAACAACAACAACAACAGCAGCAACAGAGAGCAACAGCAACAATAACAACAACAACAACAACAACAACAACAACAACAACAACAACAACAACAACAACAACGACGACGACAACAACAACAACAACAACAACAGCAACAACAACAGCAACGCAACAAGCAGAACCCTCACCACGGATCCGCGCTAGAGCCACGCACCCCGGGACAATTAATGACCGTTCGACCCCCTCACTCGGACGTGTAATGCCCGCCCCTGGGCTATTCGTCCTTATCGTCGCCGCTGGTGGAACCACGGCTCGGCGAAGCAGCTGAGCGCGGAAGATCTCGACCACCTTCCACCCCCGGCGGGGGGCACCCGAGCGACACTGCGACCCGCGATGGCACCCATCGGCGGCGAGCGAGGGCGGGAAGCGAGAAGGGGCGCGCCCTCTCAGAAGGCTCGGATGCCCCCTGGTCTTCCGAGAAAGTTCTAAGCCTTCTCCGAAGACACGGAACACTTCTCCGAAGGCCGGGGCGCTTCTGAGAAGTCCCGCCGCCTTCCTAGAAGGCCTTCTCCTTCTCACCTCCCCCCCTTGCGCGCAGCCGCTCCACAGGCTCTACGGAGCGCCACGCTTCACGATAGGATGCTGTGTTGTGCGAGCTGTAGAGGCGTGGCACACACGAGCACCAAGCGAGGAAATATTCGAAGGCCTTCATTGGGCCATCCTCCACGGAGGGCGCAGTCGTGGGGCAGCCGGCGGCGGCGGCGGAGGGAACCGGGTGTCCCGGTCAGGAGGGGGCTAAGGAGGAGGAGGAGGAGGAGGAGGAGGAGGAGAAGGAAGAAGAGGAGGAGGAGGAGGAGGAGGAGGGGGAGGAGGAGGAGGAGGAGGAGGAGGTGCAGGCGGCGGTGCCCGAGGAGGCGGGCGGCCAGCAGCTGCCTCCAGCGCGGCGCCGAAGAGCGGCGCGGCGGCCGGCACCCCCAGCGGGTGAGGTCGCCGAACGCTCCTCCTCACCCTCCTCCTCGTCTTCCTCCTCCTCATTTTTCCTCCTCCTCCTCCCCCTCCTCCGCCTCCTTTTCCTCCTCCGCCTCCTCCTCCTCCTCCTCCTCCTCCTCCTCCTCCTCCTCCTCCTGGGGGAGGGTCTGCACGGCCCGCGCTGGCCCGCCTGGGCGCGCGGCGCGCCGCCGCCGCCGCGCGCCCGGGCCGCTGCGGGCGGACGTCGGTCGAGGGCAGCCACCGCGCGGCGGAGGCGCTCCGACCCCCGTCTCGGCGCGACGACGAGGCGAGGTTGACCCCCGTCGGGGGGGGTACCCCCCAAGAGGAGGAGGAGGAGGAGGAGGAGGAGGAGGAGGAGGAGGAGGAGGAGGAGGAGGACGAGGAGGAGGAGGAGGGGGAGGGGGAGGAGGAGGAGGAGGAGGAGAAGGAAGAAGAGGAGGAGGAGGAGGAGGATGAGGAGGAGGGGGAGGAGGGGGAGGAGGGGGAGGAGAAGGAGGACGAAGAGGAGGAGGAAGAGGAGGAGGAGGACGAGGAGCGCCTACGGCCTGGAGGCGCAAGTACTGAGAGAGACGAGCAGGCACCCCTCAGCGCAAGCACTGAACAAGGGCACGTTACGATGCCCAGCTCTCGCGGATTCTGTCCAGGGCCGTGTTCTGGAGTGCCGGAGGCCATCTTGTGAGAGCACCCTGCCACGTTGCTGCGCTGTGGGGCAGCGATGGGGGGGGGAGGGGACTGGCTGCGGGTGAGAGAACGTCGGCCTGGAATCGGCGGTGCATCACCGACAGTTTGGCGACACGCCCCCCATAGCGAAACCGCAGGGCTCTGGGCAGGGTGGGCCATCGGGGCGCATCGGTGATGAATGGGCGGTTGGGGCTCGAGGAGGGGGATCGGCTACACGCAAGAGTGACCCTGGGTAAGAGTGACCTTTGGTGCGCGGCTTTTTGGGGGGCGCGGGGGGACCAAACACAGGCGCGGAAGACGCTACTGCCGCATCGCGTTCGGCGATCGGGGGACCCCATGGGCCCGCACCAAAGGTCACTCCGGCGAAGGGTCACTCTTACGTGTAGTCGAGGGGGAGGACAGCAAGCCGCCAGGCCGCCCGGCGCTGGCTCGCAAGGCCTGAGGGACCTGCGCCGTGCCGGCGCTGAGGGGAGGGGACGGAGGAGGGAAGACGGAGCGCGCGCGTGGACGTGAGCGTACTCCAAATCCCTTTTGAATCGTCCCCCCGGGTTCGGTTTTTGTTGAGGTACCTTTTTTGTAACTGGGGGGTATGGTTTATTAGGGCGCGTTCTTTGGATTGGAACTTGGGGGGTCCGGTATATTGAGGCTCCCCGTCGAAGAGGGGGGTCCGGAATATTAGGTCGCATTTGGAGGGGGGTCTGGTTTTTTAGGGGGGGGGGTCGATTTAATAAGGGATTTGGAGTATCGCGGGCGTAAGAAGGAGCAAGACGGGCGCTCAGGCGGAGCAGGAGCAGGCGTTGAGGCGGAATCACACGCACGTGCAAAAGCAGGGCAGCGAGGCGGGGCAGGAGGGCGACTGGGAGGAGGAAGGGGAGGGAAGGACGAGGGACGAGCATGCAAAGAGAAGGAGGCAGAGGATAAGGGACCATCATATAAGGATGAGGAGGGAAAAGGAGGAGGAGGAGGAGGAGGAGGGGGAGGAGGAGGAGAAGGAAGATGAGGAGGAGGAGGAGGGAGAGCAGGATGGTAGGGAAGGAGGGGCAGGAGGACAGATGAAGAGGATGAGGATAACGCCGACGCGTAGGATAAGGACGAGGATGAGAGCGAGGACTGGGATGCTGATAAGAAGGAGGATGAGGAGAGTGAGGACGAGGATGGTGAGGAAGGATGAAGGAGAGCAAGACAAGGGGAAGGAGGAGAGCCGGGAAGGAGGTGAAGGGGGAAACAAGGAGGTGTTCTAGGAGCAAGAGGTTCATGACTATAAGAATTACACGTGAATGGACAGGGAAAGGTGGTGGAGATGGAAGGGCAGAGGAGCAGAAGGAACAAGAGGAAAGCCAGCTCCTCTTCACAGCACATCGCCAGTCCATGGCTTTCCCCTCTACACTCGTCGTCCTCCTCCTCCTCCTCATCCTCATCATAATCACCAGCATCTTCATCGTCCTCATCTTCATCCTCATCCTCATCATCCTCATCAGCATCAGCATCAGCATCATCGGAGTCATCATCATTACCATCCGCAGCAGCATCATCATAACATCATCAGCAGGATCATCCTCATCCTCATCAGCATCATCACACTCATCATCCGCATCATCACCATCATCATCATCATCATCAGCATTATCACCATAATCCTCATATTCATCCCCATCCTCATCCCCACCAACATCGTCATCATCAGCATCAGCATCATCACCAGCATCAGCATCAGCATCAGCAGCATCATCAGCACCATCAGCATCATCATCATCAGCATCATCAGCATCATCATCCTCATCATCATCACCATCATCAGCATCATCATCCGCATCATCATCCTCATCAGCAGCATCATTATCATCATCATCATCATCATCGTCATCAACATAATCATCAGCATCAGCATCATCACCATCTTCATAATCTGCATCATGACTATCATCCTCCTCCGCATTCGCGTTCTCCTCCTCCTCCTCCTTAGAGCTTAGAGCTGTTGGTTAGAATGTCAATCCGACGCAGAATACTCCTGCCCCTCCTTTTCTCCTCATCCTCCTCCTCCGAATCCTCGTTCTCCTCGTACTCCTTTCCTCTTTCCCTGAAGGCGGTTGAAGAATGGGAGGACCGGAGGATAGAGGAGGAAGAGGAGGAGAGGCATGCGCGGACGGGGGGAGGAGGAGGAGCAGGAGAGAGGAGAGGAGGAGCACGAGGAGGAAGAGCAGGGGCAGGAGGAGCAGGAGCAGAATGCGGCGGCGGAGGAGGACATCGCCCACGGCCGCTCTGAAGGCGCGAACGGCGGCGATGACAACGACGACCGCGGTGGTGGCGCCGAGGGGCGAGGGTTTGAGGCGCGCCTCGGATGAGGACAAATCTCTTCAGAGCGCTCTGGAGCCCGATCAGAGCGTTCCGGAACTCTCTGAAACGGCCGCGGCCCCAGATACATCCTCCAGGCCCGCCCACTCTCTGAGATTGCCGGTTTCTCCTGGTCCGAAGGTGTCATCAGCCTGCCTTCGTCTCAGGGTCGCAGGCCGAAGTTTCTGGACGACGACGACGACGACGACAACCAGCGACGAAGACGGCGACGACGACAACGACGACGACGACCAGCGACGACGACGACGACGTCGACGACGACGGCAAGCAGCGCCGACAACGGCAAGCGGCGAGGAAGGCCTCGCGAGACGCCCGCACCACCGCAGCATCGCGCCGCTCTGCGCGAGGGGCTCGGCGTCGCCTGCCCGCCACTGCTGCAGCAGTCCGCGGCTCGGCCAGGCTCTCCTCATCCTCCTCCTCCTCCTCCTCCTCCTCCTCCTCCTCCTCCTCCTCCTCCTCATATTCACGCTCCTCATGTTCATCCTTCTCCTCGTCCTCGTCCTCCTCCTCCTCCTCCTCCTCCTCCTCCGTTGCCATTTTGTCTCAATATGTTTGACTCTCTGTGGAATCGCACGCATACCACTAGTCCGCGGCAACTTTCACAACTTTCGTCTGCTTCGCCCCAGGCTGAGCTTGCTGTGGTCCGCACTCACGGCAGGCAGCTTTGCATCCAGTCCGTCATGCAGCAACGCGGCTCGAGTAAGTACACGAAGTGCATCTCGTGCAAGTACAAGTGGACTTGGCACGGCAAGACCAGCGGCTTTGCCTGTGGCAAGGCGCTTGAGCTCGCCAGTGTTCCCTGGGCCCCGCTTCGGCCACCTGGTGGGGTCTGGAACCGCACCAAGGCAGCAGGACCCGACGGGGCTGGGTGGTACGATCAGTCCAGCTGGCTCAAGTCGCGCCGCCGCAGTCATGCACAGGATGGCTCGGGCTACCAGCCACCGCCTTTGGCGCCAGGTGGGGGCATCCCTGCGGCCGTCCGGCAGCCCGCGGGCCCCGAGGAGCTCCTCAAGCTGCTCGAGGCTGCCGTGCCTGCGCAGAAGGAGACCCTCGACAAGCTCAAAGACGCCCTGCCCCAGACATCGCCGCCGAAGCCCGAGGGCCCCAACATGCTATACCAGCGTGCGGCAGCGGCGGAGCGGAGGGCCAAGAAGGCCTCGGAGGCGGGCAGCTCAAGGCCTCCGAGGCGGCTGCAGCCGCACTTCCTGTGCTCACCAAAGGCAGAGGCCGCCCCTGCGCTGCAGGCCCCAAGCACGAGGCCTGCAGCGCGGCCACGTTTGACCCCGCCAAGCTGCTCGAGACTGACAGCGGTGTCGAGTTCGTAGCGGGCTCGGTCTTCGAAGCCACAGGGCTGGACGTCGATCAGGCTGACCCCGACAAGCTGCAGGCCCTCCTGAAGCAGTTTGGCGACGAGCTGCGCACCAAGGTCCAGCAGATGCTTGGTGAGTCGGCGGGCAACTCTCCTCCTTGCGCAAGGAGCACCAGCAGCTCGTCTCACGCTTGCATCCGGGGCGCGCAAGCATGAATTGGCGATCCATGTGCTTGGCGCGCGGCCGCCAAATCCACGGATCGGGGGAGGTGCCCTCCCCCAAATGCGGCCGGTGCCCGCCTCGCTCGGCGGCGGAAACATCCGCGACCTCCCATGGGAGCGGGACCCGTCGCCGATCCGCGCCCCCCTCGATCCATGTCTGCGATCCCCGATGATCCAGTCCAAGCAGCACCGCACCGAGGGCGCCGCCCCCTCCCCTGCGGGAAGCGCCGCGGGCGCCGAGGAGGGCGCCCGCGGCGCGCCACCGAGGCCGCCGGCGGGGGGGTCCGCCGCCCGCGGGGCAGAGAGCCAGGCGCCGCGGCCGCGGCCGCCCCTGTGCGCAGGGGGGGCCCGGAGGCGGCGGCCGCTGGGCCTGTGCCTGGTCTGGGCGGCGCAGGCAGCGAGAGCCAGTCTGCGAGGGACAGGGTGAGCGTTTTCTGATTCGGCGTTTCGGCACGGGGCGGAAGAGGGGGGGAAGGGGGGGGGGTCTGCCTCCGGACCTCTGCTCCACGCGGCTGTCTGCAACAGTGCGCCCCACCGGGGAGACTCCACCCGCTCGAAACAGGCGCCAAAAAGCAGCCAAGGTCTGCGGGGGGGGAAGGGGGGTGCGAGGGCCCGCGCCGATCGGCAAAACGATGAACAAAAAAACGATCGCAAGGTGGAGCGCCTCCTCACGGCAGCCCGCCGAGACCCAGGGGACTCCGAGGATGACCTTGCGCCCTCCAGAGCGCGGAGGGAAGCAGCGCTGCATACCCAGGGAGGCCTCCTGGTGGGAGGGGCGCGCACCAGGGGAGCGGCGGAGGCTGCGAGGCGCAAGCTGATACATGGAGAAGCCACTGCACTCACCCCCACGCCCGAGCTGCGGGGAAGGGAGCGGCGGCCCTGCAGTCACACCCGCGGGGATGCAGGGAGGGGAACGGCGGCTCCACTGTCGACCACGGCGACGACGGGAGCCGCGCTCTCCGACCCAGAGATGGTGGAGGCCCCTGGTTCTGAGCTGGAGCCTCTGTGCGGTACAGTCAAAAACCCTAATAAGGACGCGCGGCAAGGACGCAAGACCCTTGGAAGCCGAAGTTGGGATTTCTGGGGCGGCGGACGACGAAAACCCCGTAAGCGGGCAAGCGAAAGAGGCCAAGGGCGAGCCGCAAGAGCAAGGAAGAGCAAGGACGCAAGGGTACCCTGAGCAAAGTCGCGCGTCCTTATTAGGGTTTTTGACTGTACCCCACTTGGCGACTCGGGCTCATCGGAAATGCTGGAGGGTCTGTGCAGCGCTCCACATCCACGAGCTAGATGCTCGCGACGGACGGCGGATGCGGGCTCTACTACGGCGACGGGGGCACCCGCGAGTCTGGGCTCGCCCTCGACGGCATGGACTGCGACGGCGAGCATCTCTTCCCCACCGGCGCTCGATGCAGACTCGAATCTACAACTGTCAGAACGCGAGCTGGTCAGCTCACGGTTTCAAGATTCACGCGTAACTCCGCATACCCTCGACGACCCCGAGGCAGTAGACCCCGTCGACGCTCTTGACGGAGAGTTTGAGGCGCAGGACGAGAATGGCTGTGGTGGCGAACGAAGTGACGGCATGCTCCTCGCCCATACACACGAGCTCTTGTTAAGTCAGGCCGCGGGGGCTGAATCGGACAACCTGAAGGTCTCGCCACCGCCAGCAAACGAGCTACGACTACACCGTCCTGCCGCCAGACTCCAGCCAGAAGCAGCGGGCAATGAGACAGCTGGGGGGGGGTGCAGAGCAACCTCGGCCTCCCCCGATCCTGGCGCTGAAAGGGGCCCAAGGGTCATAGCTGCCGAGTGAGGATGCACAGCAGTCCCATGGGCTCCCCACTGGAACTCGAAGCGGCGCCAGCAAACATGGGTCAGGATGCCAGGGCGAGCCCCAGGTGGTCACGCACAGTAGCAATGCTTGGTCAATTGGGAGAAACGTCCTGGAGTGGGCCAAGAAAGGGCCCCGAACCATGGTTTTCAATGCTGCTTATTGTTCGTAAGACCTGTTTGACGAAGATTCACTCGCAAGGGCCTCGATGGTGGGCTTCTCGCGCCGGCTATACTTCGCCGTTTTCGGCGGCAGTTTCCACGGGCCACGCAGACAGCTCGACCTCAGGAGGTGTTGTTATCCACACTGCCGCTCAATTCAACGCCATAGAGTTTGACCATGTATGCTCTGGAGAGCGCATCTGTGCGCGGCGATAGGTGCTTTTGGATCAGGTCACATTGCTGCTCGTCTCCATATACGGCCACACGCAAATCGAGCTTCCCAGGGGAGAATGTCAACTTCTTGGCGGGGCTCAGTGAGTTGCTTTCGTCGTTACCTATACCTGTGCTGATCGCGGGTGATTGGAACATCGATGCAGAGACCTCGCGCGGTTCCAGGTGGTCCGATCACATTTCGGCGACTATTGTCCGCCACATGGGATCAACATGCCACGACAGTTGCTATGACTAGTTTGTAGCCAGTGGCTGTTTGGAGTTCTACGTGGACACCTGCCAGTCTTGGCCAGACACTGCTGTTTGGCCCCACGCTGCGGTGAACCTACGCCTCAAGGGCCTATCAGGAACCGCCAAGGCGTGGAAGAGGATCGCGCCGAGAAGCTTCCCCTCCCCAAGACGGACAACGAGAAACTCGCAGTCGCTACACCAGTCGGAATTGGGGAAAAAAATCGACCTCGCTAACCCAATGGCAGCAACGGCACAATGGTTCGATGCGGCGGAGGCTGAGCTGGTGAACCTGCGCTCTTTCAAGGCTGCGAAACGCTTCACTGGGCGCTCGGCTGGATGCCAAGTGCAGAAGGGTCCTTGCAAGCAGCGTCCTCGTCATCAAACTCCTGATCGTAGTTCTCACGACCACTCCACATAAAAGTGAAGTCCATCCGCGTATAGCAACTATGTACAGTCAGCATCTTGGTCTTGTTCCTGCGCATGTCTCCATGAAGCATGATCTACATTCTAAGCGGGGTAATATTCGCTTGTTTTGTGGTGCATCAAATTCCGAGCCTGTCTATCCCCGGTATGAAACACCATGCTGCTGATGACGAGGTGACTATCCTCCCCCCCACGCCGTGCTGCTCCTCATGCCTCTGGTTCATCGTCCGACTCCATATCAAGATACTTCCCCTCGCCCTCCACACCCCGATTGACTTCCTCATCTCACTCCTCCAACTCCCACTACTTATCATACTCCTCCCTGTCCCTCCAAATCATCGTCCCCCCAATCCTTCGCATGCTGCGGGGACATTCTTCAGCCGACATATCCTCTCCTCTACCACCTGCTCATCCCCCCTTTCCTCCGCCTCCATGTCCTCTCCGTCACCCTCTCCCCGCCCCTGCGGATGCAGGAGACGGAGGGAGATGATAAGGAGGAGAAAGACATGCATGGAGGATGCGCGAGAGGTCGGCATGGATCGGCTACACGCAAGAGTGACCCTGTGTAAGAGTGACCTTTGGTGCGCGGCTTTCGGGGGGCCGCGGGGGGGGGAGGGGGGGGGGGGGGGGGGGGGCAAACCTGGGCGCGCAAGCCGCTGCTCCTGCTTCATTTTCAGCCACCTGGGGACCCATCTGTGCCCGCACCAAAGATCACTCCAGCGAAAGGTCACTCTTACGTCTAGTCGAATGGAGCAGACATCAGCGTGCGGAGAAGCGTGCCGGGCCAGATGTGGCACGGAGGATGCGGAGGAGGAGCAGCAGCAGCAGCAGCAGCAGCAGCAGCAGCTGGACGACGGCACGGGGAGCTGTGAGAACGAGGGCGGCGAACACGGGCTGCGGATGAGGAGCAGAGCGGTCAGTCGCAGGAGGAGGAGGAAAGGAGCAGGGGGGAGCACGACGAGGAACCACCAGGGGAGGCACCGAGGACGAAGACAAGGAGGGGGAGGCCGAGGAGGGCGAGGAGGACGGGGCGAGAGAACGAGACCGAGGAGGACGAGGAGGAGGAAGCGAAGGACGAAGAAGACAGCGACGGGAGTGCGGAAGCTGTTCGCACCCGGGCCACCAATCTGCATCAGCGGCAGCTGGCCGTACTTCGTCGTCGGCTTCATCTCCTGCCACCTCGGGCGCCCCCGCCGATCCGATCGCCGCCGCCCGCCCTATTCCTCCCCCCTGTTCCACTGAGAGAACGGCCAACGTATGCATATGTTCCTCCTCCTCCTCCTCGTCCTCCTCTTCCTGATCCTGCTCCTGCTGCTGCGCCTCCTCCGGCTCCCCCATCCCTCGTCTCATACCCCTGCGCCTCTACGCACCTACTGCGACTCCGTCTGCCCTCCCTCCTCCTGGACGCTCTCCTCCTCCGCTTCATCCTCACCCCGACTTCTGCGCCGCGTCCCCTCATAACCATCATGATTGCCCTGCCCATCCACACCACCATCATCCTCGTCCCGCCCCCCATCAAAGGAGGGTCCACCTCTACGTGTCGGAGGGGAGAGCAGCGCCCGATTCCCGAACTCCTTCTGATGCGCCTCCTCCTCCTCCTCCTCCTCCTCAGTATCCCCTAGTTCCTGCTGCTGCTGCGTCTCGTACTCCTCGTTATCCTTCTCCTTCTCCTGTTCCTCCTCCTCCTCTTCCTGCTGCTCCTCCTCCTCCTCCTGATCTCCCTCCTCCTCCTCCTCATCTTCCACCTCCTCTTCCTCCTCCTCCTCCTCCTCTTCCCTCCTCCTCCTCCTCCTCCTCCTCCTCCTCCTCCTCCTCCTCCTCCTCCTCCTCCTCCCCCTCAGCATCATCATCACCATCATCATCACCATCATCCATCATCATCATCATCATCATCATCATCATCATCATCATCATCATCATCAGCAGCAGCAGCAGCAGCAGCAACAGCATCATCATCACCGGCATCAGTATCATCGTCAGCATCATCATAATCATCAGCAGTGTCATCCTCTTCATCTTCATCATCATCATAATCATCATCAGCAGCATCATCACCGTCATCATCATCACCATCGCCATCGCCATCATCACCATCCTCATCATCATCATCATCACCATCCTCATCATCATCATCATCAGCAGCAGCATCATCGTCAGCATCATCACCATCACCATCACCGAGGAGGCAACATTTCACGACATGGTTCAGCACCTTGGAGTCGGGCGGGTGAGCCTTCAGAAACTCTTACGCAAGGTCCCTGGGCTCCTCCGCCAAATTCGGCATGATGGCCATCAGGGCGCCGCTGAACCGACGACCATCTGGAATGAGGCAGTGCCCCTTCTTGCCTTTCACCTACGCCTAAAAATTGTCAGTGATCGTCGTCATCGCCACGTACATGGGGCTGAACCATGTCGTGAGATGTTGCCTCCTCGAGCGCATGCAAAATCGAGAATTCAAGCGCTTGTATCTCCACCTCTGTCCTAGTCTCGTGGAGATTGAAAAGATTTGTTGCGCTGCTCTCGACAAGGAGCAGTGCGTTGAGCAGCCGAGCCAGGCCCCCAAAGGGGACCTTGAGCGGAGGGGGCAAGAGAAACTTCTCCAGCCAGGCTTTTCAAAGGCTGACGCTGACGAGCAAAAGAAGCAAGCAGCGTCCGAGGATCAAAGCTGTTGAGCTCCTAGATCGTGGATCTGGTCCGTCTTCCTCCACCTCGTTTTTCGAAGTGGCCCCTCCTGCTGGTTCGTCGTTCGCCCCTTCCCGCTCCTCTCGCCCTTCCTGCTCCTCCTGGGCCGTTGGCCTCTCCTCCCCCTCCCAGGGACTGTCCCTGGCTGGGGGCGTTTGGGAATCAGGCGAGCCTGGCGTCCGCTTGCGGATGTTGGACTTGCGTGCCTCCTCCGGCCAGTGCCCGCCCCCTCCCTGGCTTCCGGGTCGTTGCTGCCTGCTGTTGGGCCGAGCCGTCGCGGGTGTTATTTGACAACTTGTGACTGCACCAGAGCTGGCAACTGCTCGACCTGCCGCTCCGATTTTTTTACACTTCTCGGGGCCAGATGCCGTTCAACAGCTTGAACGCCGTCTTCTCCTCCTCCTCCTCCTCCTCCTCCTCCTCCTCCTCCTCCTCCTCCTCCTCCTCCCTGTGGCCGTTTGCACGAGTGACCTCTGTGGAACCGTGCCCGCACGCCTGGTTCCCAGGGCGGTGGGGCGGAGGGAGCCCCGGGCCTGCCCGCGCCTCCCGGGCGGAGCCCGGGGCCCGTCAGCCCCCTGCCGCGCCCCCCGCGGTGGCTGGTCGCGGTCGCTCCTGAGTCGAAGCACCTCCACGAGCATCGGCCGGTTTCGAGAGAGGATGTGCTAAGCAGTTTAGTTGTTCTTCGAACGATGCGGTGCAGCAGCAACAAATTGTTATCAGCATTCTTATTATTATCCTCATCATCATCAGCAGCAGCAGCAGCATCTTCATCATCATCAGCAGCATCATCAGCATCATCATCAGCAGCATCACCAGTATCAGCATCAGCATCATCATCATCATCATCAGCATCAGCATCAGCATCAGCATCATTATCATCATCATCATCATCATCATCATCATCATCATCATCATCATCATCATCATCATCATCATCATCATCATCGTCATCATCATCATCATCATCATCATCATCATCATCATCATCATCATCATCATAAGCATCATCATCATCATCATCATCAACAGCCGTATCATGATCAGAAGCAGCATCATCATCATAAGCATAACCATCATCAGCATCAGCATTATGTTCATCCTCATCATCACCATCCTCATCATCGTCATCATCATCGAAATAATCCTCATCATCGTCAGCATCATCAGCATCATCACCATCGTAATACTCAGCATCATCATCACCAGCATCATCAACAGCATCATCACCATCATCAGCGTCATTACCACCATCATCATCCGCAGCATCATCATCAGCATCATAAACATCACCATAAACAGGATCATCATCATCGTCATCATCATCAGCGTCATCAGCATCATCGTCATCATCAGTGTCATCAGCATCAGCATCAGCAGCCTCATAATTATCAGCGGCAACAGCATCATCAACATCATCGTCATCATCAGCATCATCATCAGCATCAACATCAGCAGCATCGTCAGCATCATCCACCGCATCAGCAGCATCATTAATAGTATCGTCTGCATCGTCATCCTCATCATAAGCAGTAGGTCATAAGCGTCATCACCGGTACGATCATCATCAGCAGCAACATCATCACCATGAACATCATAATCATCAGCAACATCAACATCATGAGCAGGATAACAATCATCAGCAGCATCATCATCAACAGCCTCATAATCATCAGCGACAGCATCATCATCAGCATCAGCATCATCATCCCCATTGTTGTCCACATTTTCGTAATCACAATCAAAATCACCAGCAGTAGCAGCATGAGCATCACCAGCATCGTCAGCAGCGTCATCAGCATCATCATAAGTATCAGAATCGTCAGCATCCTCATCATCGTCAGCACCATCACCATCACCACCATCATACTACTTATCGCAAACACCATCGCCATCTTCATCATAATCATCATCGACATCACCATCGTCATCATTCTCATCAGTAGCAACATCATAATCAGGATCATCATTGTCATCATCATCGTGAGCATCGTCAGTACCGCCACCGTCAGCTTCATCATCACCATCATCAGCATCATCATCACCCTCAACACTATCAACGTATTGGCAATGGTCGCCAAACTCATCACTTCCACCATCACAATCACACTTCATCATTATCCTCCTTCTCCTCTCCATTATCCCGCCCTCCCCCTCCCCGCCCAAAACTCATCCTCGTTCTCATCCTCGTCGTCGTCCTCATTCTCTTGCTCCTCATCCTCCGCCTCCTCCTTCTCTTCCCCCCACGCCCCACCCCACCTTCTCATCCTCTGTGTTCGCCGCCATCACGGATATTCCTCATCCTAGTCGTCACCCCCATAGTTTCACCCGTATCATCCGCAGCAGCAACACCACTATCATGATACCCCTCACCCTCCTACATCCTGTCCTTCATCATTATGCATATCCTCCTCCTCCTCCTCCTCCTCTTCATCCTCCACCTTCTCCTCATCACCCTTCACCGCCTCATCGTTCCTACACCACATCCGCATTCTCGCCCTTGTCGTCATCATCGTCGTCGTTGTCCTCATCCTCCTGTCCGCTGATGCTCCTCCTCCCTTTTCTCCTCCTCATTCCACCCGACTCCCCACTCCCCCTCGTCAGAACAATCACCCTGCTCATCAGCACCACCTTACTCATCATGATGATGCTGGTCGTAATCAGTATGGCCCTCCTCCCCTACGCGTCTGCAGCAGTCACACAGAGCACTTCGCACGACGAGCGCACGGCTCCCCTGCACCTCGCGAAGAAACGACTGGGGGGGGGGGGGGGGCGGGGGGCGCAGTGACACAGGAAGGGGCAACGCTGGGGAGGGGTGAAAAAGGGAACGCCAGAAGCGGGAGAGAGGAGGAGGAGGAGGAGGAGGAGGTGGAGGAGGAGAGGGTGTGAATGCGAAGGATAACGGAGGCAGAGGAACAGGAGGCGGGGACAACCGAGGAGCCCGAGCTGGAGGAGGAAGAGGCGGGGGGGAAGGCTGAGGAAGGGGAGGTAGAGAAGGAGAAACAGCTAGAGATGGAAGAAGAGAAGAGAGGAGGGGGGGGCGGAGGATGAGCAGGAGGAGGAAGAGGAGGAGGGGGGGCGATGAGAACGGGAGAGGGACGGTGTTTCCTGCCCAGGACACTTGTCGAAGCTAACTCTCTCGTCCTCGAACTCGATTCCGCCCAGTACCAGGGCGAGGCGCACCTACCAGAGACGAGGGGGAGAAGAATGAGTACGAGGAGTGAGGAGGGACACAAGAAAGGGGGAGGATGTAGAGGAGGAGGACTAGAAGGCACCGGAGGCAGAGAAGTGGAAAAGGGATGAGGAAGAGGAGGAACGAGAGGATGAGGACGAAATGGAACAAAATGGGAAAGAGAAACGGAAGGATGAGGAAATTAACGGTAGAAGTAGAGCGATTGGGTCACAGAAACTGATCCACCCCTGAGCTGTGTCCAGTAGCGCGCAGACAACAGTGAAGGCGGCGACGACCAGGAACCACTGTACGGCGGCAGCCAGAAACACGAAGAACGCGCCCAGGCAGGGGTAGTAAACCCAATGCGCAATAAAAACTCAGAGGTACTGCTCACGCTTGCGAATGCTACGCGCATGAACAACGTAGAAAACACGCGCGGACTACCCGAACACACGGCAAACATAAGAGGACTAGAGGCCGCATTCATGGAGGGACGAATGCTGTAAAACTCGTCCGACGTACACAAACAAACAACCCTTGACCCCCCCACACGCAACCGCGGAAAACAGGACCACCAACATGACGGCAATGATTGGTCTGGGAATGGAAGGTACATATCGTCAGCCGATCACCAGAGCTGGCGACCTCGACAACAAAAAAGCAACCTGTTAAACCATACATGCGCACATGCTCGGCAATATAATTCGGATGTGTTGCTCGTCCTGCCTGCCGCCACATTCAAACACCAATAAAAAGCCCGAGCTGATCAATGGGACCCCGGTGGCCAAAATGCTGCTGTTGTTGGGGGGAAGGGAATACAGCAGCACGGTAGAAGGAGGAGAGGAATGAGAAGGAGGAGGAGGAGGCAGGGGATGAGGGTATGAGGGGGCGACGAACGGCGATAGCAGTTATGATAATAACGCAGATGAGAGGAGGGATGGTTCGGGGAGCATGGCAATGACAATGTGAAGGTGAAGACTACGATAGGTTGAAATGGAGCGAGCGAATGAGGACGACAATTATCAAGACGAGGATAATGGTGAGACTGCATACCAGACGGGCCTTCTCTACTACGCCTTCGATGTTGAAGTAGGTGAGCTTGAGCGTGGGTGTCTTCCTGGCTTTCGGCTTGGCCTTCGTCTCCACCTGCGCACAACGAAACCACAATAATAATAAACATCAGAAGAAGAATAACGAACATTGCGCAAAGTCGGACTGAATGATGAAATACAGGCACACGGCGAGGAACACGAAGAGGAACTACTAGATGGGAAAGGGAGGGTCAGTCAGTCGGCCGGACCTGCAGAATGTCCAAGTCGAGAGAAAGGCCGATGTCGGGCTGGCCGAAGTGCGCATGAGGCGCAATGGGCCGCATGGAGTAGCGGAACATGGAAGTGGAGGCAAGAACGGGCAAGATGAGCGAGACGAGTCGGGGCGAGCCTAGCGGGCGGGTGCCCGTGGGATCGTCGGGCGGGCAGCCGCTCACTGCAGCGCAGCACTGCCAGCGGCCTGGGGAGGTGCCAACCGGCAACCTGCGCAAATCTCAGCCAGGTCGGCCCTGGACCTCAAAGGATCGGTGCACACGCGTGCCCTCCTGGCCTCCTCCTGGCCTGGCCGGGAAGGCATGCAGAGTGCAGAGACGGGCCTGGCCGGGATCGGTGCAGCTGGGTGGATGGCCGACGCTCCCCCGCGGCCGATGCGGCTTCTGTGGGGTGGTAGTTCTGCAGCTCGGTGGTCACCAAATACTTGGAGTCGAATATCCGCTGCCGCACTCCCTCCAGCCAGTGCCTCGCCGTAGGCAGCGTGGAGCACGAGATGCGCGCGGCGAGCAGAATGTGGCAGCAGTACATCAACAGGAAGGCGTGGGTGAACAGGTAATCCTCCGGCACCACATACCTAGAGGCCTCCTAGATGGGGTCGGAGTAGATGGGGTCGGAGGATCGCGCCGCATCGCCGATGCATCGGCGATGCATCGGCGACGTATTGGCGATGCACTGGCGATGCATCGTCGACGTGGGCGATGCATCGGCGACGTGGACGTGAAGCACATCGGGCTCCACATCGAGCCGCATCGCCGATGCATCGGCGATGCGGAGTGATCCTTCGACCGCAACTACTCCGACCCCATCTAGGAGGCCTAGAATACCGGACAAGCGTATGAGCCACGGTGCACGGCAGAACGAGGCAGAGCACCACCGCCTCCAGCAGCGGCAGCACGACCCCGCGCCAGATGCGCCAGTGCGCCCGCAAGTCGAAGAAGAGGTCCGTGAGGGAGCCCTGCACCTCTTC